TTTTCGTGTGTATAGCAATGTATATTTATATATATGTAAAGTGATTAGAGCAGTGGCTGGCATTTAGGATACACTGTACTACATGCATGTGCTTTTTGTTATTGATGTAGGATTTTATAATCTATAAAGTACTTTACATGCCCTAATTCATCTGATACTTACAGAATCCCTGTGAGGAAGACCAAGCTTAATCATCCTTTGTTTACATCTGAGGAAACTGAAGTTCAGATGAGGCACTTTTATTTTTATTTTATGAGTACCTGTTTGCAGTACATATCGACTGCATTCATCATGAAGAGTTGGTACATGTACCCGATGAGGCATTTTGCTTTCCTGGACAAAGCTTGTAGGCAGAGATAGACTCAACCAAGTTCTTCTCGCCACTGTCAGCCACACTTTTTACTACACTGCACTGCCTCAAATCCTGGATAGGAGCTACACACTGGGGATTAGCTAGAACTCCGGGAATTACAGGCTCTCCCAGGAAGTCCCTTAGCTAGCAGTTCCTTTCTCTCACTCTGCTAGGGCCTGGCAGAGTTGGAGTTGGCAAAATTTTGTAACTGAGTGCTTTGGGTCTCATTCCATAGGGACTCAAGACATTGCGGGGTGTTCAGGGGAGGAAGAGGTGTCAAGAGACACCCCATCACTAAAAGAGCTAAAGGCTGTCTGGGAGAATAACTGGAATGCCTAAAAGAAAAAAGAAGGGCTGAAAAGTAGGGGAACTAAGGGGGATGCAAAGGGAGGATAGAAGGTAAGAGGTGCCACCAACAAATACTTTGGCTGCTCTCTGAACCTAGCACTATGCCAATTATACTTCACTTATGGAAGCAGGAGAAGAAAGGTCAGGGGAGGGCCAGTGGCAAGGAAAGCATGAGATTGGAGCCAAAACAGGACAAGAGAGAACAGCTTTTGGTTCCGGAAGGCATGTGGAATCCCCAGGTTGTACCTTAGGCTAAGGGACCATAATCTGCTTCTTGAATCCAGTGTCCTGTTGACAGATCAGATTACATGAACTAGGGCCAACTGGGAGGCACCAGAATGCATCAGTCTTGATTTCCTGAGAACATCTGCATCTCTAGTTACTTTAAACTTTTCATCAATACCATATTCTCTCTTGGGAAGCCAATCACAATGAAATCTGACACCCAAAAGGGATAAACAGAGAACTTTAAAATATTTCCTGAAATTTATTCTAATTTTTCTGGAGATCAGAAGTTCCAACTAGAAAACTTTTCAGGAGAAAGTGCACAATATAGTAGGGGTTCCATTCTAGTTTATTAAGATTGAAGGACCAGTTTAGGTTGCCCTCATTCAAATGTCCGTGGGAGGATCAGCAGGATCAGAGCTCTTCCTATCTCCTCTCTCAACCACCAAGAGAGGGAGTGACTCCTTATTTGCCATATTGTGTACAGGCAGTGGTAAGAGATCAGCTCTGGAGTTAAAGACAAAGAGAGACTAGGCCACCCTTGCAGACATATCAGAAATAGGAGGCTTTGACAAAGCAATAGTGGTGGGCTATTCAAATTTTTCCCAGCCAGTGACAGAAACTCAAGCCACACTTCTGTAAGCATTCCAACTCCCTGTGCATTACATGCACCACAAAGACATGCCTGAGAAGTTACAGGCTTTGCAGGAGCCTGAGGAAAAGACAGGGCTACAACTCAGTCCTGAGCATTGCCTATTACACAATGGCAAAAGTAAGGAGTAAGCAGCTGAGGGAGGAAAGAGGAAAGGAAGCGATACTTATACCTGCGTTAGGACGACGTCTCAGCCCACCAGCACCAGAGCAGAGCCGATATGACCACCAGGCCTACAAGAGGCAAGGAGAAGATGGGGGGATCGGGGACAGGGGATGGCTGCAGCATGTCAAATGAGGAGAGACCAGAAAATGTGAAGTGGTATGAAAAGATGTAAACACGTGAATGAGGATGAGAAAACAAAGGAAAAGGAAAAGAATTGAGAGGTTAAAAACCAAGTAAGTTAGAGCAGTAGCATTTCTTCTGTGCTCCCTGGGCCTTGAAGAGAGCAGAGGAGTCTTCCCACTGGCAGCCTGCAGAAGCTGCAAAAATGAACGGGTTAAGCAGTGGACAGGTCCAAGTCAGGTGGCGAGGCCAGTTTTCTGTCCTGTCACGTATCTCTCATGTCTTTTCAAATAGGAGTTATCTGTACCTAGACCCTTCTTGTGGGTGGGAAAAGTACAGGTCTAGAGATTAAAACTGGGCTTTCTTAGAGGAGTGGATACTTTTCCTGGATCATTCCAGGAAGAGCCAGTCTTCGGTCAGGCCACCTGCCTGGTCTCTTTTCCATCAAGTTAACTGGTATTTTGAGCTCCGGTAGTAGGTATTTTGGCATCAGATACTCTAGGAGTCTGATGCTTTAGTTGTAAGACAACATGTACAAGCTAACAATGGGGAAGAGCTAGTCAGGCTAGTCCTCAGGCTACAACAGCCTCAAAAAAGAAACTGAATCTGCAGGTAATAACACATGTCAAAAGACACAGGACCTACTGGGCCAGCGGGACACAGAACGGACTCAGTGGTGGTGAACCTATGGCACGAGGGCTGCAATGGGCTGTTTGTTATCACTGAAAGCTCTAAAAGGTTTACCATCCCTGGGCTTGACTTTGAAGTACAAAAATCAACTTTGAACTTTGTCATCCCAAAGTTCAAGAAAACTATAAGGCTCTGAGCCAGCATATGATGGGATGTGAGGAGTTAAAAAAAAAAAAAGTATTGGAGAAGGGTTCAGCTGCTCTCTTTACATTATGAGTAGTGGTCCCCTGTCACAAGTTTAACAGGGAACTCCATGTGAGAGCCTCAGCCAGTGCTATAGACTGAATTGCTGGGGAAGCCCAGATATCCTTAGAGTTGACTGGGTAATCCCACAACAGACTTATTTTTTCCTCATGTTCAGAGTAGAAAAGACCTATACTATAAAGTAGGACTTATTCAGGAAGCACTCAAACTCCAGAGACCCCAGTTAATCACAACACAGGTTTTCAGTTGATACCAGGACTTCTGTACAGTTGGTGAATGACTACTACCATCCTGGCATGTCCCCCAAGAGACCCCACTCCAATCTTTGAAAGATCCAGCAACTAAAGGGACAGGGCTGTGGCTGGTCATGGACTAGGCAATGCTCCTGCCATAAAGTTGGAAATTCTGACTATTGCTCCTACATATTCCCACACTTATGTCCTATGATAATAGAACCCAGTGGGTGATGCAAGCCTACAAAGAAGAGATTATGCGCCCTCCACATCCCTAACAGCAATGACAAAGGTTAAAAGGGCACCATGGGAAAACAGGACTGAGTCACTTTCCCAGGCTGACCGAAATGCCCTGAAGAAGGCCTCATGCTGTCAAGGTCTTCATACAGTGCCAAGGAGAGGGCTGAGGAAACCCTCTCAACAGAAAGAAGGTAACAAGGGCTACCATGTAAATGAAAGGACACAGGACTTCAAAGACCCCACTTTGGTTTTGAGAAAGGTGGTCAATGTCAGATGATAACAGCAAATTGGTCTAAGCCTGCCATTTCCCTGAGACTGCTCCGTCCAACTCCTTCTCCATCCCCATCTTCCCTGAGAGCCATACCTTATGCTCACTGGCCTCTACTTCTACACAAGTTCATCCGCCCTTGACAGAGCCAGCTCTGAACGCTAAAGTGCCTATGTCCAAGGCCCATTTACATTTTTTTTCTTTTTTGGGGGGGGCAGGGTCTCACTATGTAGTCCAGGCTGGCCTCAAACTTGCACCAATCCTCCTGCCTCTGCCTCCTGAGTCCTGGGATTACAGGTGCACGCCACCATGCCCAGCCCATTTCCCAACTGATCCAGCCTCTGGCAGTGGTTACCTTTTTGCTCTTAGAAATTTTAAGGGGGTTTTCCTCTGCAGTTTCAGGGGAAGCATCATCCTCCTCATCTTCATTGTCTTCTTCCTTATCCTCCTGTTCATTGTACTCTCCATAGTCTTTCTCCTGATCTTGTGTTGACTTAACTACCTTAGGGTCTGCCGGTTCAGTAACTAGTTCATCCCAGGACTCCTCCTTTGTTTCTTCCTTTGTTGTCTCTTCCATCTCCTCTTTCTTTTGTTCCTCTTTTCCTAGCTCGTCTAATTGCTCCTGGCTTGCCTTGTAGTATAGCACCACCTCCAGACTCTGTTGGGTGAAGGCAGAGCAGAATGGGGGCTGCTATTACCTGTGAAGAATCTACTTTCCTGACAATGCTGTATTATCTCCTCAAAACTCTGTCTGAGGCATGTTGCTGTGCTAGGGTGTAGCACTAAATTCTGGGACTGCAAGCCAATCTCCCTGAGCATAATGTGGAGGGCAGCTGCACCTGGCCTCTTGGTGCCAACACATCTACTTGGCTATTAAGCCATTTCCAACAGTGACTAGGGCTAAAGACTCTTGGGCTCTGCACTTCAATTCTTGCTTCCCACCCCTCATGGTGACTCCTATCATACCAATCCTCTTTCACTTATTAGTACAGCACTGCTCTGAATAAATTCCTTTTTCTTCATCTTGTTAGTCCTCCTCTTGGGCATATAACTCAAGAACAGGGTCCCTAAAATGGGGCTGGGTCACTGCAAGTAGTTCAGCCTAGAGGCTGTATCCACTCTTCCCATAGATCCTAGGAGCAAGAGTCCCAAATTTCTCCTGAGATGAAATTGTCTCAGAAACCTTCCTATAAGCACCTCATCCGGGAGAGATGGTGGTAGAGATGATGCTTCTTCCCAGGGCTTTCTCCACCCTCCTGTCTGACTACCAAGGCTGTCACTCACCTTTTTGGTCTCTAAGCCACCCTTAGAACTGTCCAAGCATGGCTTGGTCACCCATTTCTTTTTGGTCCCATTGGCGTTCTTGTTTGTGTTCTTATTGCAGTTCTTTCCCCTGGCCTCTTTGCCAAAAGAGGGCCTCTTCTCTTTGAGCTGGTGGAGCTCTTCCTGGCAGCACTGCAGCTGTCCTTCCAGCTGCTCCTGCACTGCCAGGAGCCGCCCCTGTTCATCCATGCTTGCCTGGTACTGAAGCTGTAGCTCCCGCAGCTTGGTTTGAAGTTCCTTGATCTGTTGGTAGTAGGGGGCCAGTTACCCAGAGCTGGGTTCATGCAGTCAGCCCAGGCCCTACTTTGGGCTTACTGTTTCAGAAATATCCCTGCTAAATAGCCCATGGGTTGGCAGATGGTAGAGACAACATTACACTGTGGAAAACAAGCCTCTTAAACAGTTTTACAAAAACCTTTTCCCTAACTTGAGGCATCTGAAGATTTACATCTCATGTGATCAAATGATGATTTAAAAATAGATAATATATATACTTTTTAAAAAAACCAGGACCTATCTGAAGAATAATTACAAGGGTGCTACTACTTCCAAGCCTCAGGGTTTATTATGTAATTTTTCTATCAGGAATTCCTACTTTACCCATTTCTCTAGGCACAACTACTCAAGGACGTGTTGCCCAAGCCTGAGCATAACTGGGTGCCTGCACCTCTCCTGGGAAAGAGAAGCAAGTTACCACCCCACTCCCTAATCTCGGGTTTTGTCTTCCTCAGCTGCTGGCAGCCAGTCACGATCCACTTGGTAGGTACTAATCAGTCTAGGCCTCTGTGGTCAACACTCTGGGTCTCTTGTAGGTACACACACAGTGATCACTCCCTTCCCTCCCACTGCGAATCACTGCAGGCCAGAGGCAGTGCCTTCTGCTTCTTTCCTAGTGGACAGAGAGCACTCCTGTTGCCATTAAGAGAGATTCAAAAGAAGATATAATAGACCAGGGGTTTAGCTCAGTGGTGCTGCCACCTGCCTTTCAAGTGCAAGGTCCTGAGTTCCGTACAAAAAAAAGATATGATAGCCAGGCAGCTGGGTGTGGTGGTACATGCCTGTAATCATAGCACTCAGGAGGCTGAGGCAGGAGGATCATTGGAAGTTTGAAGCCAGCCTGGGGTACATAGTGTGTTCAGGGCCAGCCTGAACTATATAGTGAGACCCTGTCTCAAAAAAAAGAAAGAAAGAAAGAAAGAAGGAAAGAAAGAAAGAAAGAAAGGCAGGCAGGCAGGCCCTGTCCTTGAAGTCTTTATAACCTAGCAGGAGAGATGAGATAAATGTATACAAAATAACAAAAGAAAACTGGCAAGTGAAAAATATAACTCTGCAGAAGTACTCTAGGACATAGAACAAAAGAGAGAACAAAAATGGCAATGGGAAGAAGAAAATAATTCTGAGACAAGTCAGGATGACTAGTGCCTCCCAGCACAGTGAGCACAGGAGAAACGTCCTTTGGCCCAAGCATAGGGCATCAGCTATACTGACTGTTTGGCCTTCTGGGATTCAGTGTCCCTGCTCTGCCCCTCTGTCTTTGGTCTCTCAGAAATGGCCATCACCTCCTCTGGTTTGGGGAGAAACTCTGCCTCCCTGATAGCAGTTACCTCATTCTTGTCGTTGTGGGGGGCTGCAGATTTTTCAAGGCTTTCCATGCACTCCTTGAATTCCTTTTCGCAGGCATCGATCTCTTCCCTCAGCTCTCTCTGCCTGTCCAGAAGTTTGTTCATCTTCTCTTGCAGCTGGTAGTGCTCCTCCTGGCTCACCTGGTACAGGGCCTGCACTCCCTGCAGCTTAGCCAGCACCTTGGCCACCATTTCCTCAAAGTGCTGTGGAGGGTAGGGGAGCAATGGCAGCACCCCAAGAAGTGCCTGACCTCTGGCCCACACTTTGCTAGGCCATTCTCTGGAAACAAAATAGTGGCCACCAGGATCTGAAGCTGCCCAGGGGACACTGTTTCTCCCCATAAAGAGCACCCTGTCTGTGATTAAAATCCTCAGTCCTAGGCCTCACTCTATGGGAGAGAACCGGCGGGGAGGAAGGCTGCTGGGAGAAGCCTTGCTCACTTCCAGCAGCTCCCTAGGTCAGCGCTGACCCCATTCCTGTCTCACTCCTGCACCTCTCCCCATGTGATGTTTCTTTTAAAGACATGACCCTATCTTCCCCTGCCTCACCTGTCACCTGTGATGGTTACCTCTAAGTCTTTAGGCTCAGCTGGATCCTCATCTGCACTGCTGCTGACGTAACTCTTAGGACAGCTGTCAGAGGTACTCGTGCTGCCATAGCTCTTCTTATAGGTGATGCTGCTGCTGCTGGAGCAGTAACTCTTCTGATAGGTCTCACCAGAAGTGGTGCTGTCATAGCTCTGGAGAAAGCCCTCATTGCTGACCTGGGTGCTAGCGTAACTCTTTTGATAGCTCTCGTTGTTGTCAATGGTGCTGCCATAACTTCTGTGGAAGTTCTCACTGGTGGCAGAGTTCTCCTTGTAGGACTCAAGACTCATTCTGATACAGGGGGACTGCATTTGGAGCAGCTGCATTTCTTCTAGACAGAGCTGCAAGTCGGCCTGTAGCCTCCTCCGCTCCTCGAGGAGCCGCCCATGCTCCTGTTGCAGCAGCTCTTGTTCCTTCTGGCTGGTGACATACAGCTCCTGCAGAGCCTGCAGCTGGTCCAGAAGCAGCTTGGACTGCCAGAGGTGGGGGTGGAAGACATAGCCATTACCCTAAGACATTTCAGCTCTCCAAGCTGCCCGTCTCGGGGGCTGATGCCTGTGTGCAGACCTATACTCGTCTCACCAGGCCTGTCTTTGACTCAGCCTACAGGTGATGGGCATGTATGAGCTTCCTGCTCATTTGGGACAATCTCCCTGGGGTAGATAGTCCCCAGGGCTCCTATTTCTATAGTCTGGCACATCTCTCTCTTCTTCCAGCAGTGTATGATGGGTCTCAAGAAGACCCTAGCTCCCTGACCTACCTTCTTCTTAATCAAGTGTACCCATTATCCTGATCCTTAGGCTGTCCTTTCCCCTCACCCCTAAGGCTAAAATTAGTCATAACCCTGAATGTAGGCATATAAAGAATTCTTTCCTGGGAAGATGCAGGCTCAGAATCAAGTCTTATTCCTATTGGTCCTGTACCTCCTGCCTGGATTCTGACTCTGGCCCATGGGCATGTTTCCCAGGCCTTTGGGCCTGCCTTCTTGGCTGCCACCTCCCAGGATATCTGATCAGTTAAGGAAATATCTTATACCTGGTTTCCTGTCTCTACCTTACTCAGGCTTTTCGCCTGGATATCTGATGCCCCTGGAATATGACCGAGTCTCATTTTAGGCTTCTGCTATTCCTTGCTTGTCCCTTTTGACACTGATATCTGAATGAGTAGGTTCAGGCTACGGTACCCTGAAACTGTCTACTGGCTCTCCTTTGCTTACATTGAATCCACAAACCAAATTTACCTCGTCCCCCAATTCTCAATAGACTTGTTTGGAAATTTCTGCCTCTGTCACCTCATATGAATGACTTCCTGGTGCTTGAGACACATGGATTTTCTGGTCTAATCCCCCTGACCTGTCTCTGTAACAACTGTCATCAAAGTACTAATGAAGGTGGTGTAGTCAGTGTGATAGTATATGCTAGGAACATACATCTCCCTTGGAGATAAATGGACCCAGATTTGCCTCATATAGAGCACTAAAAGGTTAGACTTTGAAAATGAAGAAGTGTACCTCCCACCTCATAAGAAAAGAATGACACATTTAGAGTCAATCCAAAGGAATCTAAAACACTAAACTGCTATTATATCTCTTGAAAATGACACATCAATGGGATTGAATCCAGTCGTCAGATTACAGACTTCTGGGTCATCCCAGCTCTGTTTTACGTGCTCACAGTACTCCAGTTGGTATGCCTTTGGGTGAGGTCCTCAGTGCATCTAAGGCCACATCTTTTTTTTGGTACTGGGGATCAAACTCAGGACCTTGTGCTTGCGATCCAGGTGCGGTGCCACTGAGCTAAATCCCTGGCCCTAAGGCCACATCTTAATGGAGCCCATGGTGGTCCTGGCTGGTTAAGGTCAGGACTTTGGCTTCACCCTGCCTTCTGTCCTAACAGACCTTCCTGACTCTGACCCTTCTGTAGAGCCACCATTCCCTCTAATGCTGCTGTGCTTGGGAGAACCACCTCCCTTCCTCTTGCTATGGTTACCTTTTTCTCACTATTTGTGGACTTAGGTTGTATGGCATCCTCAGGATTCGCCAATACTTCCTGGAAACGAGAGTTTTTGAAAACTTGCAGCTCTTTGTGTGCTTCTACCTGTTCCTTTAATAGACATTCTTGGTTATGTATCAGTTTTCTTTGTTCCTCCTGCATGTGTTGGTAGAGCATTTGTAGGTCCCACAGGTCTTGTAACTTTGTAAGCAGCTCCTGACTCTGAGTACAGTGGAGGAAGGAGGAAGGAAGAGTAGCAGTTAAAGGGAAAGCCCCAGACCCCTCCTGTGCCACATCCCTGTTGGGCACTGTCTCTCCAAATCTCTGGCTTCTGGGGACATAAGAGTCTTCCTATGGAGGCCTGCTAGTTGAGTGGTACTGATTTCTTACATGTGGATGTATTTTATACTTTACAAAATGCTTTCAGGTGCATTTCCTCTAGATGGGCTAAATATCTAAATATCTAAATGCTGCACAGATTCCAGAGTATAAAATATATTTTAAGATTTAAAGCCCTTATGTGGAAAAACCCAAATCAACTCTATGGAGCTGTTTGGTGTGGGAAGATTTATGGGAAAGGAAGGACTCATTAACCAAGAAAGGAAAATGTTAGATTCCTACCCTTTTATTTTCCCCAGGGATGACCATACCTGGGAAGCTTCTCAAAGTAGCCTCTCTGAGGCCAGTGACCATGTCCTGGCTGTAGGTACCTTATAGAAGAGGCCACATTTGGGCAGTGGGAATGTGAGCCGGTGCAGCTCCTCCTGTAGCTGGCCCTGCTCCTCCTGCAGCCTCCTCTGATCCTCCAGGAGCTCGCACTGCTCCATCTGCAACTGCCCCATCTCTTTCTGGCTGGCCTTGAACTTGTCCTGCAGTTCTGTCAGCTTGGATAGTAGTGCATCACACTGTGGAGGTAGGTGGGGTGTGGTTACTCTGTAAGGTACTTTGGGGGGGGTGGTAGTGGCGGAGCCCTAGTGTGCTCTCCTGACTCCTGTGACTCACAGGGTCTTCCTCCCTATCCAGTTACCTTGGACTGTCAATGGCTGAATTCTGAGTTCCCTCTGCCAGCTCCTCTGGAGGGTGGTTGGAGAAGGAGCACTATCAATGTCCTTCCCCTCTCCCTGCCTTCTGTCTCTGGCCTTTCCTTTGGTGTACCATCTTCTCACCCTGAAGGAACTCCAGCTCCAAGCTACTCTTATTATTGTCAATTGTTTTTAGACCTAATTATGTTCCTTCCCAATAAGGATTTAATTTCACCCTAATATTTCCCATTTTTGTTTTCCTAACCATCTCTTAAAACCTTTAGAAATTATGAGCTATTGCTGAATTTGGGTTAAAACTAAATTATCCTATGATCCCCCAAACCAAATCTTCCAATAGCAAATGAACATCAGTGCTGTTCTATGACTAGAGAAAAGGCTGGCTTTGTACACCACTGTGCTTCTCCTTTCCTATAGTTCTTCCACTAGAAGAGGAGGTAATAGACAAGTCGCAGATCCCCTGAACCCCTAAATTGAATCGGAGTGGAAGAAGAGGGAAACATGAGCCTGGTGCAGAAAGGCAAGTAGACTGTATCCTTTTCAATTCTCTATCTCCTGAAGGCCTTTCCCTAGAAACTCTGCCTTCTGAGTTCCTGCAAAGGCAGGAACCACTGAGCATTCTGGCAGAATGTGATCACCTCTATCAACTCCTGGGACTCTTGTGCTTTTTCTCCAACATGCATCAACACCTGCCCATTTCCTACCAGTAACCAGGGGCAGAAAGTGCTCAGCAGAGTAAATAATGGCTTGCATTTTATAAACTATGGAAAAAGGATAGGTGAATAAGGTTTTATTTATCACTATCAGGATTCATTAATAAAAGGATGTGAGGTTAAAGTAGCATTCTATTCCGTTTGAAGAGGGCAAGCCTAGAGAATTTACTCCAAGTCACACAGTAAGTCCTGGAAGAGCCTACCAGGGATGGTGAGCCTACGACAGGCATGCCACAGTGGGCTGTTTGTATCACTGAAAGCTCTAAGAAGTTCACCATCACGGGCCTAGGCTTCTGATACTCCACCAGCACTCTAGGCACATAAAAAGAACACATACAGTCTGCCTCAGAAAACTGGTCCCACTTTTTCTAGTTCCAACAATAACAGCTACATAAATGGGCCTACATGTTTGTGTCTCTCCACAAATGACCAGACACCACTACTCTTTTAACATGATTAAAAATGTCTACCCACACGGAATCATATGGAAAACCAGTCAGGTGTTCAGCCTGGGATCTAGACATACTGGTCCCACTGTGGCTTTGGTTTCAAGTCAAGATCAAGGCAAACTGTCTGAGGATTAGCAGCACGTGGCTCTGCCTATCTCCCACCTTTGGTTGGATGAGTTTGCCTCTTGCTCTGCCCCTACTTTCTCCAGAGCAGGTGCCAGAAGTGCTTGTTGTCTGGTCTGTTGATTACCTTATTGGCACATGATCCCTTCTGTTCAGGAGAGGGCTGGGTGGTCTTGAGCTGTTTGAGCTCCAACTGGTGCAGCAGAAGGTCCTGCCCGAGCTGGTCATACATGTGCTTCTGGCGCTCCAGCTCATCCTTGCTGGCCTCGTATAGCCGCTTCATCTCTCGGAGCTGGGTGTGCACCTTTGCATTCTGGGCAGGGGAGGCAGGCCTGACACTCACTCCAGGCGCCCCTGCTGCCACGCTCTCATCTCAGGAAGGGACTGGGGATTTGTTCCCCCTTCTTTCCAGCCCCTACTTCATCCCAGCTAGGAAGACACAAGATGGACCCATCCCTAACAGGCTTGAAACCCAGACCTTGTGGAACTTTTTTTAGGGGGGGGTTCTTTAGAGTCTAATTTTCTGAATTAAAATCAAGGAAGCTTGGAGCATTATGACTCCCTGAGACCAATTTTCTACATGCACCTCTTTGGTCTCATCAGCAGCTCCTCCACAAAACTCCCACCAGGGCCACTCTGTGCTCACCCTCACAGGAATCCTGCCTGGCCATAATCTCCCTCACCTGGGCCTCCTTTTACCTTCTCACCAGACTCCTGCAAGGAGGCCACCATGTCCCGGAGGCACTGCAGCTCTGCCTCATGGCACTGCAGCTTATCCTGCAGCTGATGCTGCACCTCTAGCAGCTTCTCCTTCTCACCCATGATGTTCTGGTGCTGGATCTGCAGCTTCTGGAGCCGGCATAGTAACTCCTGTGTGCAGGGGCTTAGGGTAGCACTGCTGTCCTGTAACTCCACTCTTCTGCTCAAGTCATTCTAGGTCACTGGTGGGTTGTGCATTTACTTCTCCCTTCTTTGTCTGCCCCTTGTCTTCCTACCTAAGGCAGCTTGACCGGGGCTGAGGTTCTTTAGTTCAGGCTGGCCTTGAACTCACTATGTAGTCTAGGCCGGCCTTGAACTTGCAGGGATCCTCCAGCCTCAGCCTCTGGAGTACTGGGATTATAGGTGTGCACCACCACACCCTGTATGAGGTTCTTTACTTGTGGTGCTGCCTAGGTGGTGGCTGGAGCTATTTTAAACTCTACTCTTATTTATCTTCCCCAAATCCTCAGACTGGTGCTCTTAGCACTTTGGTTGTTCCCTCACCACTGGTGCTATTACCTTTTCACTTTGGCTCTCTGTGATTGTGGATTTCATGATTTTAAGCTGTTGGAGCTCAGTCTGAAGTTGCACCTGCACCTTCAAGAGCTCACTCTGCTCATCCTGGCTAGCATCATACTTTTTTTTTTTTATTTTTTTTTTAGCATCATACTTTTGTTGCAGGGCACAGAGCCTGGTCTTCAGCTCCTCATTCTGTGAGTAGAATGATTATTCTCAAGAAGTAGCAGACCCCTTACTAGGTCAACTTGATCCTTTTCAGGTGCAGACTGCTTGAGAAGCTCCCCTGGGTCTATGGTTTGGTTTCTTCAGCAAGGCAGACACGTTTCTAGAATGCCAAGCTACGTGGCTTCTATAGCTGGCCTCTAGTAGCCTGGGTTTCTGGTTGTAGGTTGAACATCAGCAGAGCTCAGAGTCTCCTGAGGCAGAGACTCCTAATAGGCCCTCTGCCCTCCCAGGTGCCTCCCCTGGCAGTGTTTACCTGGACAACGCTGTGGGACGTCTGAAACTGAAGCACTTCATTCTGGGCACACTTGAGCTCCTTCTGAAGTCGCTTCTGCTCCTCCTCACTGACCCGCCGATGATGCTGTAGTTCTTGCAACTCACAACACAATTCCTTACACTGTACAGGAAATGGAACAGAGGGCTGATTCAGTTCAGGTGCCACATGTCTGGAGGAACAGGCTGGGGCAAAGTAAGGCACTTGATTGGAATATAGTTATGAGTTGCCTCCCAACATGGACACATGCTGAGAAATGCATCCTGAGGTGACTGAATCCTTGTGAGAATGTTATAGATGGTATAACTGGATGTTACCTATGACACACCTAGGCTGCATCGTGGCCTATTGCTTCCAGGGCCATGATGAGCAAAACAACATGAGATTAACTTAAGCACAAGAGTTAAATGATGTGCCAGGGATTTAGCTCAGTGGTTCCACTGCCTGCCTCACAAGCAGAAGGACCCAAGTTCGATCCTGGGTACCAAAGAAAAATAAAAAAGAAGTAAAAAAAAAAAAAATTGGTGTGAAGAGTTAAATGATGCAATCCAGAGACTCAATGCATAAGAAATCTAAGAGGCTGCTGCCAGTGTGACACAGTATATTGTTCTGCAGTAAATTTTTTAGTTTTTATAAGAAGGAGGATTATATTCTAAAATAATGATAAAAACATATCAAATATATAAGCCAGCAGCATAGGTATTATCATATCAAGTCTTAAATACTGTGCATAAGTATATATACTATGTTTTATATGACTGATAACATAGGTGTGTTCACACCAGGCATCACCACCAACATATTAAGCAACATGCTGGACTACAGCATCATGAAATGACAGGAATTCTTCAGCTTCATTATAATCTTACGGGATCACCACCATGTATGGCGTCCGTTTTTGACCAAAGTATCATCATATGGTACATGACCGAGTTTACATCAGGCAAGCTAGCAAGACCCTGGGGACCTCTCTCCTGCCATAGCACATGACTCCTCTGTCAGCCCTGTGCCTGCCACAGGCCAGGAGAAGGTGAAAGAGCAATGGTGGAACAGGCCTCCCCGCCCTCTGTGGTCTACCTTGTTCTGCATGTCATACATCTGCTCTTCAGCTCCCAGCAGTTGCTGGCGCAACAACTGCACTTCAGGATCAGGCTCGAGGAAATCCATTTCTGAAGTCTGAGACTCTGATGATACCATAGTCTTTAGTGTTTGGGACTCCAGCCACCTCTCTGTTGCTCTTCGTGTCCTGTAACCCAGAACCCAGAGCTATGTTGGGAGCAGCTCAGACTGGTTAGCACCAGACAAGTGTACTTGGGCTTTATGCCTTCAGTTTAGGTCAAAGATTATAAGAGGCCTTCAGTTGTGATCCAACTCTCAAGTAAACATGTTTAGAAAATTACAGAAAGTTTCCAGCACCTCAGGTACAGAGGCGTGCTTGGCTCTGGGACACCCTAGGAATGAGGGTCCGGTTGGTTTCAAGGTTGGGCCTGGTATCAAGCCAGCTCCGACCTGGAGGCTCTGTGCCATTAAACTCAATCATGTCTGTCCAGACAACAAAGGACTCTACTTACCTATTCTAAGGCTGAGTAAACCAGACCCCAAAGCTGAGAATAGAAGAAAACTAAATTTTAGAACTCACTCAACTCTAGGTGTGGAATCCCATGCCTGCTTCTAGATGGTGTCTAAGGCCTAGGGACAGCACAGAAAGGACTGGCCCTCTGGAAGCAGAGGAACACTCTTGGACCCTGGCCTCTGTCTTCCAGGGAATGCTCAAGGAAATGTCCACAGCACCCCGCCTCCTTGCTGTACCTCTCACTCTCCAGCTCCACCAGCTGCCCCGTGAGGCTGCTGTTGCTCTGCTGCAGGGCCTGATACTCCTCATTCAGAAAGTGGTAGCGTTCCTGCAGTTGCTGCAATTCTTCTGCAGAGGACAAGAAGAGAGAGATGAGATCCTTGGTGAAGCAGGGTGGCGAGCACTGACGACCAGCCCCCAGTTTTCCTGCCTAGAAACCTGAGACCAGAAGGTTGACAACTTCTCTTTTTCTGGAGACAGAAAAGAAATACTACAAAGACATAGAAGACAGGCCCCAGAAAATTCCATGGCACAGTGAGTCTTTGCTGTTTCCAGGAGCTGCCCTTCCTCTTGTCTTCCCAGAACATGTACCCTGTTCGCTCATCTGAAGCAGAATCTTGAGCTCGGGAGTTCTTAAGGGTTTAAATAAGTTTTTGGCTTATTGTACTTAAAGTTTCCACTTAACTGTTTATGATTTCTTCCTTATCATGATTTTAGTACAAAAAGCTGAGCAATGTGAACTGCCAGATGATATAGTTCCAGATCCTGCCTTTTGAAGGCAACCCAGGAATCCTGAGCTTCCTTTACTTCTTTTACCATCACACCAAAGACACTAGCCTGATGTGGCCAAGTGTCCTTTCTAATAGTCTTTTGTCTGTTGACAGAAAAGTCCATCCCAACCAGACCCATATCTCATCTTCAAGCATTAGAGGAGATCTGGTAGAAATGTCCCAGCACATATCCTGAAGTACTAGTCACCAATTATTTTCCCCAGTATTTGGGATTGAACCTAAGACCCTCACACTACACTATCTCCCCAACTCTTTTTATTTTGAGACAGAGTCTTCTAAGTTGCCAAGTTATCCAGGCTAGGCTCGAACTTGTGATCCTCCTGCCTCAGCCTTCAGAGTGCTTAGATTATAGGTGGGTGCCACTATGCTCAGCTTTTTAAGGCTGTGATGATACACAACATCTATGTGTTATATGTTTTCATGACTGAGAATCATATCTCTTAGAACACTAATTCTACTCACATTTAAGGAAAACTAACTTGTCCTTATTACAACACAAGACCTATCTTACCTGATAGAAAATTCAACACTCTAAAAGTCACTTCTAATGTTTTCTATTTATTCCAATCAGAAGTCTTTAGAATACTGCAGATTACCATAGAAGGATGGAAGGAAACTAATATTTGATGAAAACCATGCCAAGCATTAGATTTGATGGTTTCAGTCTTAAATGGGTATTTCATTTAATTCCCAAAATAGCCTTATAAGTGTTTCTTTTTCTTTTTTCTCTAAATAAATTTTAAATTTTAAAATAGTTTTAGAGTTATAAAAAAGCTACAAAGATAATGCACAGTTCCCTGGGAAAATTCTCACTCAATTTCCTTGATGTTAAAATTTTATATTTGCATGGTACACTTGTCACAACTATGGAATCAACACAAGTACTTTACTATTAACTAAAGTCCACACTTTATTCTAATTCCTCCACATTTTCCCTAGGGACCTTCTTCTCATCTAATTATAAGGTTTTATTAACTAATTTGGGTCCCGTATCTAAGAGATGGAAACTGAGCCTCAGAGAAAGATAATAACCTAAGTTCACCCTGTTGAGTCGAGCTGTGTTTCTGAACTGTTTCATTCCAGCCAAAGCCTTTCCCATGTGCTAGCCACCCCCAGCACCACCAGTCCAAAGGCTCTTCTGAGAGGCTTGATACAGCTGGGAAAACTTGGAATTCTTTGATTCCTTGTTGACTACCGCCTCTGCTTGACCTGGCCAAATATAGGGCCTCCATTATGCTCAGATCATAAATCTAGCCTCAAATAAAGGCAGACTCTCTGATGTCATGGATCCTAGCAACTAGCTGAGAGCCTCTCTGTCTGAAAGCAGGACTTGAAGCTTTTGAGTACCTCATGCATTTCTAGAAATAACCTCTTTTCCTTTCCAGCTGTCTTGTGCTCTGATTTGTTGACCCCTAAAGCTTCTACTTTGGGAAGAGCTAAAGAAGCTTAAGAATTAGCATCCTGGAACTGAGAAACAGGGCTGAAGGTCCCCCTAAAGTGGTCCAGGGAAAATGCCATGACAGAGGAGCAGAAAGAGTTTCCCAAGCTGACAGGTCTTTCTATACTCATCCCAGAGCTGCACACTTTTCCAGGAAGAGCTTTTCCATAGACAAATCAACAGTACCCAGTGGTTCTCTGGGTAAGAATCCCCAGGGTACATCTCTACAGGGTTATTTATTTTCTAATGCATAATGTAACACCACTCTTCCACCACCTTCCTATCTATGACCTCCTCTCCTCTACCTGACCTTCCTGATGGGTCAGGAGGTGGGCTTGCTCTCATACCTTGCAACCCAGAGAAGTCCGAGAGACTTATACTATTTGATGGGTCAGAGCTCTTCATTTCCATTTCTGCTCGGAGTGAGGCAATCTCCATTTCATATTCCCCCCGAATGCGTTCCATGTCATCAAGTTCATTCTGCATTCGGTAGAGATCTTCCTGCAGGGATGCTATGTCGCTCTCATGTTCAGCTGCAGAATCTGCCGAGGCTTGCCGCAGATTCTGGATCTCAGCCTGGGCCAAATGTAACTCTCGTTCTATTTCCTTAAGTTCATTTTCTTTCTCATGTTCCAACAGGGATATTTCCTCCCGTAGATGCTGCAGCTCACCTGAAAAGCCAAAGGTTGACATGGTCAAGAGGATAAGTGAACTAACCTTTCATGGATTTTTTTTTTTTTTGAGACAAGGTCTCACTATGTTGTTCAGGTTGGCCTTGGGCTCACTATGTGGCCCAGGCTGGCCTCAAATTCATGGTAATCCTCCTGCTTCAGCCTCCCAAGTGCTGGGATTACAGGCATGTGCCACCAGGCCTGGCAAATCTATCAATCTATCATGTCTTATGCACACAGTTAAAGGCAGAGATTTTCTTGTTTGGAAACTCCTGACAACCTAGACCCTACCCCATCAGAGAAGCAGAGTGCCGTATGGCATGAAAAGAAGAGGGCCAGGGATGTAGCTCAGTGGCACCTGCCTGACAAGGGAAAGGTCCTGAGTTTGATCGCCAGTACTGGGAAAAAAAAAAAAAAGAATACCTAAGAAGTGAACAGAGGGACTACACAGTAAGGCACAGTAGAAAGGCAGATTTTGAGGTCTCGTACAGAGAGCAACAACTTGGGCTACTGTAAATAAAAAATATTAAGTGCTTCTAAGGACTCAACTGACAGTTAAACACCAAACACTAGCTGACAGTATTCTACAGATACTCTGAGCTTTTCTAAAAATTCCTTAGCTAAAAATCTCTCACACCATATTTTCACCTATTCAACCTGGGAGTTTAGAAATTACACTGCCTCAGAGCCCCCATCATGAACCACTTGTAGTAAGTACCGACCCCAAAACAATGTGCATTTAGAGTTTCCAGCTGAAATTCAAAGAAGTTCTTCACATGATAACCAAAAATGGAAAAATAATCTAAATATTGACTAATCAGGGATTATTTAAATTGATGATGGTTAATAGAATATCATAGAGCCATTTAAAAGAAAGTAGCAGATCTATAGTGAAAATATAAAAAAGTTTTATGTTAACTAGAAGGTAAAACATATGGAAAATCTAATGTTGCAAAAAATGTTATGTACAGTAGATAACACACAAATGTACAAAGACATTCTGGAAATATCTATGCCTCAAACCATCAAGGATAGTTGCTTCAGAGAGGGATAACAGGTAGCACAGTATTTTACTTTCATATATATATTTGTGCTGTTTGATAATCACAAGTCTTTATGTTATTATACATATATATTAGCTTATAAAGAAATATATCAGAGCTTTGTATCTGTGGATTATCTCAGCTCATACAGGTACCCATCTAGGATCAGGAGAATCAGAAAGTGGAGAGAGAATAAAAGCCACTGACACAGAGCCAGGTGTGGTGGCGTGTGCCTGTGATCCCAGCACTCAGGAGGTTGAGGCAGGAGGATTGCTGTGAATTCAAGACCAGTCTGGGCTACATAATGAGTTCAAGGCCAGCCTGGACTACATAGTGAGACCCTGTTTCAAAAAAACCAATGAAATAAAACAACAACAATAACAACAAAAGCCACTGATACCAATAAAAACTCAAGATCTGGGGGCCAGGATTAGGGAATTAACACAGATTGGACTGAGAGGGTCCGGTCTTTCCCACAAACTCCTTGCAAAGCATTCTCCCCATGCCTCATTTTGCTCACCACTCAGATTTCAACTTTTCCTAGCCTCAACCCTCATCTCCTCAAAAAGCTAACAGGAAAGAAAGAAAAAAAAAGCTAACAGAAGTCCTCTATTAAATGCCTTCACATAACACCTTGTACTCTGCAGTGGGGTGTCTCTGTGTGTGTTTGTGTGCGTGTGTGTGTCTATCCGTGTGTATAGTTAGTCTCCTCCTCACTTGGTTATGAGCTGTAATAAAGCAGTAACATGTCTCTTTTTCTAGTTTAGTTGTGTTTTTTTAAGGCAGGGTCTCCCTTTGTAAGTTTCAGGCTGGCCCTGAACTTACTATGTATCCCAGGCTGGCTTCGAACTCACAGCGATCCTCCTGTCTCAGCCTCCCAAGTGCTGGGATTACAGGTGTGTGCCACCACACCCAGAAGGAACATGTCTGTTTTGCTGACCATTCCAGGTCCAGGAATGGCAGAATGCAACTCAATATACACTTGGTGTATTTATGCATAAATGAGGTAGGGGTTGATCAATTCAACAAACTTGTACTGAGTTTTTCCTGTGTATTTCACAAAAATCGAAAGAGAACTTAGACATTTTATAAGGCAAATTTAGGGTGTGGTAGTGCATGCCTGTAGTCCCAGCATGAACTCTAGACTGGGGGGGGGGGG